CTAATCTTTATGATGTAATATTAAATTCTTGTGATTGCTACAATATGATAAAGATATATCATTCAAAGATATATATCTTGTATTATATATATTTTTATATTGTAACAGATAGATTATACAGAAATGAAAATTGTTTTTAAGTATATAAAAATAATATAATCTTTTCAATTTTTTAATATTATTCATTTTATATAATCAAAATCTTTATGAATAATATATATATATATATATATGTGTGTGTGTGTGTGTGTGTGTATGTATGTGTGTATATGCAAATTAGTAGAACAATATAAAATATGCGGAAATTTCAATGTATCGCTAAGTCACACTTTATCCATTCAACAAGATATTTCCCGCGACTACTTCCTACGTTTGGATGCCTGCCAAAGTTAAGAGTGTAAGTACTAAGACAAGTATTAAATCTTTATCCCTTCATATTAACATCGTTATTCTTTTATATTAATATTTTTTAAATGTTATTTTACAAGAAATCAATATTTATAATTGAATTTGACCAGATATTTTATTCTGAATTCGAATAAAATTTTGAATAATTTTAAAATTTCGAATAATTGATGTAATATTTGATTCCAATAGGAACTTTATTAAATAAAAGTTAAGTTTGTTTAATTAGATTAATTGACCATATTAAAAACTTCAACTCACCATAGGGAGTATAACGTTTTCTTCGTGGAAAAAGAACGGCATCGCTAAATCTATTTGGAAAAGAATCCCTTTTTTCTCGAAAAACTAATATTTTGCTGGAATCTTTGTAAATATGTGCGGTATGTACGTTTCGACTACAATTTACTCTCAACCTGAAACACATTTGTTCATATTAGTTTATATCAGCAAATTTATAAAACAAGTGTAATAATGTATCAAGATACAATCTACAAACGAACGATACATACACATTGTTCTTTAAGTCCATTGTGAAATATATGACTGCGCTGTCATTTCTCTGTTCGAAATCCGGCTTGACGCTCGAAATGTCTTGGAGCACACATCTCTCTTGGTGACTGTCTAAATAAGGATTCATTGCATCGCTCAAGGTTCGATCTAAACTGAATCCAAACTGAATCATAAAAAATACAAATTACAAAGTTAAACAAATAAAGATATTAAACGAATTTAAACAATTTTTAAATAAATAATAATTAGAAGACTCATTAAAGTATTAGGTATCAAATACTTTATTGGAAATTTAAAACATTTTATATTAAAAATAAAATAAATAATGTAGTATCCTTAATTTGTGTATCCTTAATTTACTTTTAATTTTTTTAAATAATAGAAATATTAAATGTTACGATATATCGATATCAAATTACGATATATCAAATTTTTGAAAATATCGAAATGTATCGAAATGTTATTTGATAAGCATATATACGTAATTTTTATAGTAAAATATGTATAGTTTGAAAAAAAATAATAAATATTATTAAATCCCTAAAATAGAAATATTAATCAGAGAGTGAAAGAATTTTTATCGAGAGCATTTAGTATAATTTTTATAGAATAATTCATGACTTTTCATATTTTTTGTCTGATTTTAATACTCTAGGTAATCAAATTTTCATACTTTGAGAGCTTACAAGAAACCGTTTTACGTATTTAGCCATTATTGTCTTACAATAATGATTGTGCATTTAACATGCAATATCCTATATAAGTTTATTCTATTTTTCGAGAAACAATAGTTGATTAAATTAAAGTGATTAAAGGCATTATAATAATGTATAAATATATATATTTTTATCAACAATTTCATATGATATTTCATATGTGTTTAAATATAGATATTCAGAAATAATTTCGAATATTTTTCCAATAGTAAATTAGAGATAAGGAAAATGAAAACAGGTGTCTATAAATGAATGACGAAATAATTTTATGTGAATATGTTCACGTCATATGTCCTTAATTACTTACCACAGCATTCTCATCAAAAGGTTCAGCTTTGAAGTTTGTTAAATTTACATCGAGAGTACCTCCCTTATAGAAACCAAAGGTACTAAGAGAAATATATCGCCTTACATCTTTCTGTAACATACAACATTCATAAACACATACATATAAGCGAAAAGAAAAGTTCCGTAACCTACAACTAAGGAACGAGAAAAGAAATTCTTTTCAGAAATGATAGTTTATAGATAATCATTAATTATGATTTATATGTATAATCTAATTTTTTATTAAGAAGAAATTTTTTATATTGTTTAATATACTTGCAATCGCTTAGATAGTAATTTTAAAATGTAAATGTCGATATAATATTGCAATATACTGTTCGTTTACATAATTTATCACTTTTTTGCAGCTTAAAACTTATCGTATTATATGCAGAAACTGTATAACGCAATTAATTTTATGACCGGTTAAATAACGATTGACGTAACAAAAGAATTCTAATAAACTAATTGGTAAATATACTCGCGTTATTGCTGAAGATTGCTTGTACTAACCCGTATTTCAAGTTTGTGAATTCTACCCGTTACTAATACGAATATTGTCATAGTCCAAAGACATTGTATCACTAATCGTTTCGATTGCATTTTTATTATTTTTCACCAGAGAAATGTCACATCACGAAAATACAAAATAATCATATCTACAATACTCAACCTTCACTCATCGATACATGAGCAGAAACTGAGCTTGAACAGCAGGAATATATTTGATGAACGGAACGTACGAATTGAACTAGGCGCAATTTTTAAAAGTTTTTTCATTATTAGCAATTATTGGTTTTCTTGTCATTATAATATAATATATATACGTTGTTTATTATAAAAATTCAAATGTTGATTGAAATTCAAATATAATACAATACAATATAAAATAAAAATTTGCCAAAAATTATAATTATATATAATTCTATATAATGTTTTTAAAATAATAATTAATAATTAAAATTACAATTGTAGATAATCATATTTAAAATATAGTATATGATTATCATCAATCTTCTTATGTTTATTTAAACAGAATATTTTGAATTGTAACGCTGGCTTTATATGGATAGTATTTATTTATTTTTAATTGGAATTAAATTTTATTGTTTTAATGTTACTAGACTAGAAATTTATAAAAATATAATATTATTTTAGTAAATTGTTTAAAATATATAATCTAAAAAAAACTACAAACTAAATACATGCAAAAATAAAAAAAACAAAATATTATTGGGGTTATGTTACATTTGTCGATTTGAATATTTGAGTTGAGTATTATTATTTATATATAACTATTGATATGGAAAAACATTTTGCAGCATTAAAATTATTCGATTCAGATTCTGATAAAATATTAACAGAAGCACTTAATTATTCTGAAACGCCATCTTCTCATCGAATTTGTTTAAATCAAATTTATCGGTCTAAAAGTCAGTCTAACTTGGTTAGACAATATAGTTATGAACAAATTTTTAATGAAAATATAACTTCAAAGTAAGAACTGTTGTGTACAGGTAACAAAATGACATAAATAATTAATATTCTTTTTTATTTTAGACAAATAAATTTACCAGAATTTGCGCAAACCGGCAATAGAGTTATTAATTATCAAACAATGGAATTTTATTATAGCCCGAATAAATCTCTTAATAGACAATTTTCCAAAAGTAGTAATATATTACAAGCACCAAAATTTGTTTTAAACAAAGCATCAAATGAAATATCTTCTAGTTCAAATAATATAAATGAGTCAAAGTCTTTGTATTGTCCTATAAAAAATACAACAACAAATGTGACAGATACCAAAAAAGAAGTTGAAGACTTATCATCCACAAAATTAAATGATTGTGAAGAAGTACATACTGTGTCAGAAGATATTACAAAAATTATAGATGAAAAGACGTATCAAAATATAAAAAAGAAGTTCAGACCATTAGTAATGAAGAATAAAATTGCTCAAAAAAAAAAACAAATATGTGTTATTATGGTTGTTTAACTTTAGCTATATTACCAATAATTGCAATCATATTTGCATTACTGTTAGATGTACCCACATTGTCTTCTCGTGCTATGATTTTCTCAAAAGCTAGTCAAGAATTACAGCAAAAAATACATGGACAGGAAAATGCAATTTCACAAATTATTAAATATTTAAATCAAGATTACTTTCATTTGAATGTTTTATGTCTTATAGGCGGAACAGGAGTTGGGAAATCTTACACTATCGATACAATAGCAAAACATTTTCCTTTTAGAAAAGCAATTCATACATATGATGCACTGTTAGATTATTCCATGGATATGAACACGTTAAATTCATTACCTTCATATCAATTATTTATTATGGAAAATTTAAAAATAAAAGATTTGGATGTCTTTTCTAACATATTAGATGTGCTAAGTCAAAAAAAAGATAAATCTATTACAGTAATAGCAATTTTTAATGTAGAAGAAATAAATGATAACTTAGAAAGAAAAATAGATTTAATACAAAGTACAAATAAAATTCAAGAAATATTGATTAGGAAAAAAATTGATAGTTTAATTGTTCCTTATCAACCTTTGAGTGAAGAAACATTAGAGACTTGTATAATAGAAGCAGCAACAGCTAGTAATTTAACACTTACATTGGATCAAATAAATGAAATCAAAGAAAGTTTATTACAGTTTGGCAGTGGTTGCAAAGGAGCTTATGCTAAGGTACAAATTGTTGGTAAATACTAAGGGTCAATTATGAATTTTTTGAAATATACATTTTCTTTTCTCTAAGGAAAAAAAAAGAAAATGTTCAAGATAGACTAAAATCTATAAATTTTGCTCAAGATAATTAATATTTTGTATTAATAGAAGAAATATTTGTATGTTTTATACGTTTCTATAATAGATATAATATTGCTGTCATTTATAAACTAATTATTGAATATCAATCAAATATAAATTAATATATCTTTATATTAATATCTCTCTTATATATTATTTCATATAGTGTTATCACTTTTATATCAATTAAACAGTACATAATACAGAATTACAAATTAAATTATTTTAAATTTAAAGAAAAAATATAATTATATTATTTTTTTACATTAAACAAGAATTGATATATGTAAATTCAAGATTTTATTTTCCATAATTTTGAAAGAAAATGTACTTTTTAATCAGAATAAACAGAATGAAATGTATAAATAAAGTATTTTAGTTTTTTTTTTCAATGAAAAAATAAACAAATATTTTAAACTTAGCATATGATTCTTATAGCAATATTGTTAATCATGAAAATTAATTTTTTCTTGAAAAAAAAATATCGATCACTATATTTCATCGATAAAATAATTATACGATTATTCCATTCGATAGATTCTATTTTCAAATCATCTTTAATACAAGTTACAAATTGTTGCCAATATGCAACAATGATATCATATTTATACATACAAAAAATATATATACTTATGTAATTCTTATATTCGATCCATAGATTTGCATAAAAAAATATATAGATTATGGAATATTGATTTTCTTGTAATAGGTTTTTATAAACAATCGAGAGTACTAATTTGATACAATCTATTATATTCATATAACAAACCTTTAATTAAGACATTATCAAAAAGTCAGATTAATAAATCTATGATTTTATGTTTCTTATTCTTATTCTTTTATATATAAAAACAACGATTGCTTCGAAAAATGATGTAAAAATCGAAAATTGATATTTATATCATAATAATATGAATAGAGCACTTTTTATTATAATGATGAATAATTTCTTAATTTTTATATTTTGGATTGCAAATCCTCAAATATTCATAATAAAATTAATTTTTTATTTGTTTTTTCAGAGTTGTAATTCAAATCAATATAAACTTAATATAAATTTATACGTAAATATATTTTAATTATATATTAATGTATAATTATATTATATATGTATAATTTTTTTATATATATTATAATGCATATGAAGAATATGAAAATACGAGTTTTTCATTAAATATGATACGACTTATTTTTTTGGAAATTTAACAGTACATTTACATTGTTTTTTTTTATCAGTTATAAAATTACATTGAATACAATTTGACCATATCATGAAGGATATAACAAAATCTTCGATTTTTCTCAAGATTCATAATATTTCAATTCGTGTGACACAATATTCCATAAAAAGTTATATCCACATTGTATCTTGTCTTTCAGAATATAATTGTGAGGATACAGTAACATTTCACTTTCTGATGGCAAATGTTTGAATCATTGCGTGTCAAAGCTTAGTAAGAAAACACCACCGAAGCAACTGTTACGTACTATTTATGTCAGTTTAATCGTTACTGTTATGCAAAACCATAACAATCTAATTCGTAATTGTATATATATATATATATATATTCCTTGTTTTTCCTTTTTACTTTAAAAATGCTTATTCTTTAATAAATGATGCTTCTGTTTTCATTACACTTTCTTCTTCCATTCGATTCTTGAAAAACTTTTTCAAGAATCAGTGCAGAGAATATTTCAATAATATTTCTTTCTCGTTTGAATTACGATTAAATGTGTATATAACATTTATCACAATTGACATTTATTAATATTTAAAGCTGATACGTTAATAATTAATATTTCTAAATTTCTGGTATAATAATAATAAACATTTTCTAATAAAAAAAAATATATATATATAATTTCCTGTTACGTATAATGATGATGTAAGGTAGAAACAGTTACGTGGAATTATACAGTGATGATTAGAAAATAAGATTACGATATTTATAATTATGCGATTATACAATTTTTGGAAAAGAAAAGAAAAAAATAAATTTGCTATTAATCAATCATACCTCGTATAGCGATACGTTTAATTTAAATTATGACATTTAACAAATAACTTGGATTTAACTTTCATTACTGGACAAAACTACAATTTTCGGAAGTTTTGCAAGACTTGTACAAAAGAAAAAGAAAGGGTCGTTACGAAATTAACCACTATCGTGCATCGTTTAAGTGAACGACGACGCTTGTCTACTTACATCTATAAAAGACGAGCAATTAGATGAACTATGGTATTCAATATTTATGCTTTATTGCAAAAACAGAGGACAGTTTACTCGCGTTTATTTACAGAAATAAAAGACGAAATTATCGATTAACTTAAAGAAGAAAAGTATAAGAAAAAAGGATCAATTTGTCCCTGAACGTATATTTATTTCTTTGTTCTGTATGTGGCGGCATAAGCCACCACAAGGGTATCGAAGGCGGAGCTACAAGAAAGGTGTAACTGGAAATTATAAAAGAGCGGTCAGTAGTCAAGAGGAGGCAGTCTCCTTCAAGTGTTCACCTGCGCGACTACGTTACGTCGGGTACGTTATATTTCTTTAATTCTATTAGTCTGTAATAAATTTTTAATTAATTACATTTTTTCCCCCGTTAACAATCAAATTCTAAAAAAATTCTCAAAAATCGAGCGATTTATTTATATAAACGTTGAAGATAAAAATCTTCAAACAAATTGCATTAAGTGTATTATCATCGTGTCAAAGATTTTAATTTTCGATTTATCTTCTTCTTTTAAATTAATTTATTTTAATTTTGATTCATCGAAAATCGCAACTGCCCTTTTTTTTTTTAAAAAATTAATTTCTCCTAATATCTCATAAAAGGTCTCTTACGTTATAAAGTAAACCTTACTCGTACAACAATTATTCGCATGATAATTCATTCAACGCGTGTCAAATTTTAATCACGTCGCGCGATGAAGCAGTTCAATCGTTTTTCTCGATGTGCTTACTTCGTCAAACCGATGTCGCAGGAATTTCAAGAAGCCAATTTGTATGCCGACCTTGTTTTCGGAGGTCAGAAATTCTAAAGGCCAAGGGTACGGGAACAAATTAGTAACATTGAATCTATAAAATAAGCATATGAAGTCTATGAAACGTAATATTTTCAATATCATCGATCATCAATGATATTTTATTTACTTCGATAATTAATGAAGTACGTGATATACAAATATACATTGTACTCACACGTTTTCAAAATCTTTCGTTCTCGATTTTTTATCATTTTTGGGAAAAAATTTATCAAAACTTATTATCACTTTCTCCCACGATCTTTCATTTTATCGATTTTAAAATCGATCCAGATTGCAATTGCATTAAAAGAAAAAGCAAATCACTCGATCTGTTTGACATAATGCTTTCTGCGTATGGGGTGAACGGCATGCGGTATCATAGTACTTCAACAGTAATAATACGATAAGTAGTACTTTCTACGCGGAAGTGGTTTATTTCTCTGGTTACTCGATAACCTATTAGCTCGTTAATGTACACGCGCAAAATTGAGACTCGAATAAATAATATAAATAAATAAAAACCGTGCGTCGATGACAACCTATAATATAACGAAGGGGGGAAAAAAAAAAAAAAAAAGAAAATTATTAAATATTCGTTTAAACTACTTTTTCATTTAACTATTCAACAAACCGTCGAATCAGAGTGAAAAATGTTAAAAAATTTTCCTATCTTTCTATTTCGATCCTGTGCTCGATTTCGAGCACAGATTAGAAAGAGAGGATCGTGAGAAAACAAAGAGAGATTCAAAATTGTCACTCGGCATTAAGGACAAGTCGAAAACATAATCGAGTTGGCCGATCTCTCGGTACAATATCGGGGAACAAAGATGGACGCGCAACTGGCCGATTACATAATCGGAGAAAGTGGTTGCGAAACTAGTCACTCACCACATGTTGCTATCACGGAACACGTAACACTTGGCTGGTATTCGTGGATACTTGGTCGAGCATTATATCATAAAGAGACGAAATTGTTATGTCATGAAATCAACGTTAACATTACTGTTGACCAAATCCTTACGAAATTACGGGGAGAATGCATAAACGCGTTACGCGATCAAAAGAAAGCGTACTTACTCGTTTCTTCGAGTAAAACGCTTGTTTGCTACGGCGGCTGAGATGTCGAGGGAGCAATGTCAGCTGTTCGTCCAAGGATATACGGTTTTTTTGTTTTTTACCTGAAAGGAAATATCTGCAATGACCTTGACACAAGTATTATCCTTGAAAATGGATAAAAATTAAACAGGACTTTCCGAAATGACAAATGATTTTTTTCCAGAATCTCTTTTCTTGAGCGGTCGACGAGCACTTGGATAATAAAAATTTAAAAGCCGAAGGTCGAAATATTAACGAGAATGGGAACAGCGGTCGAATGGGTAACAGCGGAGGACGCATACGAGTGCACCCTCTCGAAGGAGACGCAGCAAATCTCGAAGGAGGAGCTGAGGGAGGATAAGAATACCAGGGACCAGGCCCTCGAGCAGATACGTAACTGGATAAAATTGAATCCGCGTATTCAGAATTGTCGTCTCGGTGAGAGAATCGTTTTTTTTCCTTCCTTTTTTCTTTTTAAGGTATCTTTAAAAAAAAAAGATAACGCCTCGTTACGTAGACACGCGTGATCAAATTAATCTGTCGGCGATTCTCGCTCGACAGACGCGCGATTTTTGTTAAGATTCCTAAGGTGTAAAAAATTTAACGTCCCAATGGCGGAGGAAGCGATCGAGAGATACTTGCTGCTGCGCCAGGTCTACCATCCTGCCTTCAACAATTTGGACATCACGGAACCAACGATGGAGGAGCTGTTGTCTTTGGGGTAAGATCGATGAAACGGGGGGGGGTAACACACAAGTGTGAAACAAGTGTATAATCATATTTTGCAGATACCTGTTCGCTGCACCCGGACGCGATGCCAAAGGCCGACGTGTTATAATTGCCAGACCAGGTAAACTCAGTCCAATTTGGCTGTCGTGGACAATGATCGTTTTCATGATTGCTTTCCCCTCACTTTTTTTTTTTACATTTCGAAACGTGACGTTTCTTAAAAATCCGGAACGATATGCAACCTGTTTATTTATATCCGTGCGTATTTTTGTCGCGTAAAATATGCTGAGGAAACACGAAGGCACGATAAAAAAAAAAAGAAACGAGAACGAATTTTACGAGTTGCGCAATTGCAAAACACGTTTCGTTCGCGCGTAACAATATTTACTTTCTGCCACGTGCTTTCAGGTGTCTTTGATCCGCATAAGTACACGAATGCTGATATGTGTAGAATTCACGCGATCACTTACGAGTGTTTGATGGAAGACGAGGAAAGCCAAGTACGAGGTTTCGTCCATTTCGCCGATGGTGCCGGTGTTAGCTTTCCGCACTTGACCCTCTTCACACCCAAGGAGGCTGTCCGTATCGTGAAAAATGGCGAGGTATCCGAATCCGTTACGAGCCATCATTTTTCTATTGTCGATACGCGAATTATTGCACGCGATAAAAACTCGTAAAACAATGTCGTGGTTGGAACCCTTTCTGTTGTTCGATCACGCGTTGTAAATCACGAAGAAGAAGAAGAATTTTCAAAGGAGCGTATGGTAATTTTTAGCGGACGATACCGATGCGGCATAAGGAAGTTCACGCGATCAACACGCATCCATCTTAAAATTGCCCTCGACTTTGGTATGTCACTGATCTCTGAAAAAATAAGAAACGCGTGAAAATTTACACAAGCCTCGAAGAAGCGATCAATCACAAGATGGACACGAGTTTGCTTCCCAAAGAGTACGGTGGCACGATGCCTATGAAAGAGATGATCGGTAAGTGCATTCCAAGCTGGTGAGTAGAGAATAATGGGGAAAGAAATTTGGAGGTAACAAAAAAAAGTTACTTTGTAGAATTGTGGAAGAAAGAATTGCTCGACATGACGCCAACGTTGTTGAGCCACGATAAAATGCGGGTTAATTTGGAATTGTACTCGGAAAAGGCTCGAGAGGGGGCGGTTTCGGCTTTGAAACAGGGTTTCGGGTGTTCCGACATTGGGCCCAACGATTCGACCATGTACGGGATCACAGGCTCTTTCAGGAAACTCGAGGTGGACTGATCGCATTGATCGGTGGCTGCGCATAACCCATGTATCGAAATCCAGTTGGATATTCTATTGTAAACTTATTCTATCTATTGGAAACAATGTTATCAACTTTTTTATAAGTAGTCATTAAATGTGAAATCTCGTTAAGATATTGCTCGTGGCAGTGTAAAAAATGGCAGTGAAATTTCGATCTCGTCAATGCAATGCAATTTTGCGGCCGATAAATTTTTTTAAACCAATAATTGTATAAGTGAAATTGTAACGAAATTAGACTTTACGCTCGGTTAATTATTATAAGTTCATTGCATTTTAGTTGTTTGTAAATAACATATATATTTGGAAATAAATATATATATATATATATATATATTTTTTCTTACACTTATATTAATGGATCTCTTTTATTTTAGTAAGTAATCGGGCGAGCAAGTTTAAGAAGAGATCCAACCTCCAATTATTTCACGTATCTTCGCTCTAGCTCGAGTCAGATCCTCGACATCCGTATCTGAATCGCTGTATAAATCGCGGCAGTGAGACGATCCTGGAAGTAGACAGGAATCTATCAATTGATCGATAGATTTAAAATAACTCTTTTTAAAAAAAAAAAAAATCACAATATGCTTGATATTACCTTTTATAAGCACAGCCGGGGAAAATGTATTTAAATCTTGAAGAACGGACAGAGCATGCCACGGATCAATATCTCCATTTGTAAATATTACATTTCTCAAGTCTGGCCGTAATCCTCCATACATTATATTTGTTCTTTTAATCCTGCTATTTAAGAATTCGCCATTGTAACTGCAAGACAAACAATATATCTTATCTCTGAAGATAAACAAATATTTAAATAGTTGAAAATATTTGACGTACTATTCGCCGTATAAATCTTCGCAAATATTTGTAAAATATAGCAACGGAATAAGGATCCAAAAATTGATTTCGTTGAATTCGTTGTTTGGTAATAACCGTATTCGGTGCACGTCTGATAATACCACTGTCTCACTGTATTTAATTTAATGTAAAAATAAAATTATAAGCAACGAGTAATTCACGAGGCAATGTATTATGGTATAATGTGCTTACTTATATCGGATTGGGCGTGCCACGTTTCGTTCCTGTAAAGTGTGACAAACTTTTCGTAATTGTTTTTCAAACACTTGTCTTTCCTCGACACGAAATGCGCCAATCTCTGAATGGGGCTGCCCAAATATGAAGCGGTCATGTTCTCGCAGCAAGAGGCGATCTTACTTCGGCCATTTTCTACTTTATCGTACTGTACCACGCTGGCGAATTTCTGAATATTCAATAAAATTTAATATTAAGATAAGATATTAACACTTTTTCTAATTTAAACGATATCTTGTTCTCGGAACAAATTCATTTCGAGATAATGAAAACCCGTACCTCTGCTAAAAGATTACCAAAGTGTCCCAGATCGTTGAAAGATTTTACATTTGGCACGTCGCACAAGCTATAACGTATAATTTAGATGTCATATTTAAATTCATTTATCCCTATGAAATAAACGAATGACAATTACTTGAAATATTGTTTCAATCTTAGCGGGCCATCCTCGGTGTATAATAATTCCTCGACTTCATCGAACGCAGTTTTTATTTCGTCGACGCATTTTTGACTGTGTTTACGCAGTGATTCGGTCACGATTTCGTAATATTCTAAAAAAAAAGAAGAAGAAGAAGAAGAAATTGTTCTTCTTTTCTCCTGTAAAACGAATCCAAGGTTTTATTCTTTACCATTAAAATCGAGTTTTGCGAGAACTGGAGCGCTACTGGCCAATGCACCTTGAATGAGATGGGGATACTTAAGTCTAGCCCAAGAGGCCACGCTTCCAGCGTAAGATCCGCCAAAAACAATTACGGTACTATTTCGCCGATTTTCATCCTTCTTTTTCGTTTTGATAAAGTACGCTAGATCGGCAAGTGCTTGGTCCACGCTTAGATACTGCAAGTTTCTCGAACTAGTGTCGCTATTTAAAAAAAAAAAAAAAAAAACAATTAGTAAAGTTTACTGTTTACGAAGAAATCTAAATCTATCGTTCACTTGATACAGAATGAAAAATCAAAATGTCAAATTCGAGATTCGAGAATTTGAATCAAATTTTTGTTTGATTTTGTTTGACTGATTGTAGCAAATGTGTATCGTTTTCGTGGATAGAGGCAATACTCATACTTGGTCGGTTTACTTTTGCCGTAATAACGATGCTCGGTGTAATACATGCTCGCGTTGTATTTAGATGCAAGCTCGTACATTAAACCAGCCTCTAAGAAGCCCCTAGATATTGCCCATTCTCCTCCGATCATGATCAAAATTGGTCCATTTTCTTTGAAAAATCTTGAATTTTCAAGATAACGCTGTCGAAACACAAGATGTAGAAACACGGGTAAGATCGTCTGTTCAAATCGTAATTTCATTCTATATATAGAGTATACCATCGACCAAGTACGGTTGTCCCGTGGATTGAAATGATCTAAGGGCTGCTGGATCCATGCTTCGGTAATATTTTCCTGAATCGCTTTATTGAGAGAGTGCGGTTCTTCCAAACCGTGAAAATGAAATCCGTGAAGACCGACACCGTGACCGAGATGATAAATACAACACAATAAAAATAGGGAACTTAAAAAATTCATATCGATTTGAAATATATCTATTTAACGGCAGAACAATTTATGAAACACTGTTGAATAAAGTGTTTTACGTGATTATTTTGTTGCTCGATATCGAGATAATTAGTTCCTCTCAGAGATTTTAAAATTAAATTGGAAAAATTTATCTGATAAGACATTGTCCGATTGAAGACAAGAAGCATATGTAATAGATCCATCAAAAAAAAAAATATCGAATTGTAAACAAGGATATCGGTACTCGAAAGATAATAACTATCACTTAAATATGTCTCATGTAGCATGATCAATATTTCACCAACAATGTACGTATGTATATTTATAAAATTATCTTGAAAATTCTGTAATAAAAATTGATTTTTGAGAAGGAGAGAAGAGAGAGGAATTAAATATCAGTTTTGTATCAGATATAATACCTAAAATAGCTTTATTTTCATTTCAATACCTAAAATAGCAATGCTTAACAATTAAAATTCGTAAAAAGAATAAATTGCGATAAGTATGAAACATTTTATTGTTAAATATTTTACGATATGAAAATCGTTACGAGAACTAAAATAATATTATAATAATTATGGATATATCGATTTTGTTCTATATTCTCAGTTTCATTCCTTAAAACCGACATATCCATAATTAGTTATAACATCTCTTTGGTTCTTAAAAATTAATAATTTTAATCATAATCAATATATAATACATAGTTATTTTCGGGACCTTTTCAATTTTTGTCTAGAACTCGATCTACGATGTTTTCTAGGTATTTCATCATCATCGGAAACTCTATCTTTATCAGATTGCTCGTATTTATCACGCGTCGATTTTTGTCGAGAATCTCTTTCATCGGAATGATGGTGACGTTTTTCAACGGTTTTCGAACGGTGTTCTATCTCCGGTTCTGGAGATTCAGACCATCTCCAATTTTTACCATTCTCTACATCGCTGCCATCTTCCCACTTTGATTATTCCTAAAAAAAAATTAAAAGATTAATAATATATCAATATATATTATATTTATATATTATATATTATATATATATATATATAAAGATTAATAATATATCAATATATATTATATTTATATATTATATATATATTAGGATATATAATATACATTAAATACAATGATAATATGTATATGATAGTATGATAAATAATAATACGTAATAACAAATCCTTAATACCTATGTTCGATTTTTTTATTGCTTGTAACATCTTGAGAGGATGAAGATAATTGTTTTGCCCATCTCGGTGGGCTTTTGATATCGTACTCGTCATGAGGATTTTTAAAAGTGTGCAAAAAATTGCAAGCCCTTCCTTTAGGACATTTCGACATTCCACACACAGCACTCCTCCATGATTTCAAATTAACAAATTCACAATTGAGCTGTCGACCAGCATACCATCGACCTTTTAATCTTCTTAAAGCTCTGGCAGCTTCTCTTTCGGTGTAATATTCAACATATAAGTTTCCTCGTAAATGAACTTCGGTGTTACAACAATATTTTAAAGTTTTTATCCTTCCAAATGATTCCAATTCAGGAACTACGTCTTTGTAGAATTCACGAAAGTGCTGTCGTGTCTCTGAACTTTCAAATTCGAGTGCGATATCCGTATCGTATTCCGCGCAATTTTTCTCCAAGGAAAAATGTGTATAAAAACTAGGTACTAGTATCACTTTGCTCAAACATACCCTACGATGATTTCTTGAGCAAGTATCACCATACCTACAAATATGTGTTTGACTTTATAAATATGATACTTAAAAAAGATTATATTATATAATTAGAGAAAAAATGACTTGTATATTATTTACCTGCAAGCACCAGTCTTTGTAAAAAAGGGGCAAAGCTCTTTACCAGGTTGACTATCGATAACTTCTCGCAAGGCTTCCGGAGTCTTGATCCCATTATCGATATAGTCGTCGATTTCTTTTAATAGCTGTTCCCGTTGTCTAATCTCCTCTTCTCTTCTACGTTTTTCTTCTTCCTGTTTTTTGCGAATTGCTTCCTGTTTCGCTTCGAATTCTTGACGTATTTTCGCTTCCTGTTCCAGTTGTAACTGTCGAGCTTTTTGTTTTTTCTCTTGTAGAATTTTCCATTCTTCTTGTGCTTTTACCTAAGAATATTAAATATAATATAAAACACTGTGGATACGGTTTATTGTTAAAGTAAGTTTGATTGTTTAGTTTATAGAAACCATGTAGTAACTAGCAGGCTTTGGTATCCACATTTTAACATTATTTTCAGGGTTATAGCAAAAATTCTTGTGAAATAGTGATACATTATTCGATGATGATTAATCGAACGTATGCTATCGATCGTGAAAACAAAGTAATTTCGATAACATGACAACATACGCGATATATCAATCAATTGGTTAATAATTTTCTTATATTGAAATAAAAAAGAAAGAAAAGGAAAATGAAGTTTGCAGTTGCAAAAGAGAATTTATCAAAATTTCGTAAATATCTTTTGATTGTTTTATAAACTGACCTCTTCTTCTAACCATTGTTTTTCCCTTTGATCGTGCTCTTCCTTTTCTCGAGCTTCTTTTTCCCTCTCCTCAATTTCACACTGTTCTAACCACTTTAAATATTCCGCGCTTTTTACAAGTGCTGCCCTCAGTTGTTCCTCGTTCGCTTCACGTTCAGCGGCCGCTTTACGACGCAGACGTCTCCGATGCTCCCTTTTCGCTATTTTACGCCACTCCTTATGACTCTTTTTCGTCAAATGACTCCCTTCCATTACCATACATTTTTCAAGAAAATATTTGTGTTATCTCCGATAATATCATAGTATCACGAATTTTTGACACAAGTTGAAGCGTATCTGGTAGTCGATGCCAATAAAGAAATGGCGGACCACACGTGCACGTCGCTGTGCTATCACTGAAACAAAAAGCTTTTAATCCGGATTAATTCTTAAATTTTTAAATCATTTACAGATTTATATAAAATAATATTATTACACGAAATTATATATAAACTAAATAAATACATTTAATAAAATAAAATATATTATTATTGTTAATACTATTATTGAATAAGAAATAAGAAAGAAACAATAAAACAGTTTCTAACATTCTGAGAAAAAAATAATTTTCTATAGAAATAATTTCTGAGAAACTTACTCAAAATTGATTTATTGTTTAAAAAAATTCTTTTTATATAATTCATCGTATCCATTAAATACATAATACATGTGTACTTAACTAGGACAGTTTAATGCAAGATAAAAGTTACTAAATAATACACAAAATTATTACCAACTTAAAAAATTTTCCAGTGACTTCTTCTTCTAGGGATTTTTATTTTAATACGATAGTCATATTGCTTTATTGCTTTAAACGCGGAACTGGTTGGAAATTTAATGTAAGGTGCAGGTTAAGTGTAAGCAAACAAATTACAAATAATGTTTATTTATTTTTATTCGGTTTATTTTTTTTTATTTGCTCACACTGTAATTAAAAAAATTGTGCAAACGAATATTTTATATGTAAAAAATTAAGTGTTAATTAATTTTTAATTATTAATTCAATTATTAATAATTCGAATGTTAAAATTAATATTGATTGATAATAAATATTAATATTAAAATTAATAATCAAGTTAAAAACTTTCAAATGGTATTTTTAAATATAAATTTATTAATATAATAAAATGAAAATGAATAAAAAAATTATGAATGAGATATTCTTGTTACATATTCGTAATATAATAAAAAAGTTTTCTACTGTATTACATATTACATTAAAAATTATATAAATAATTAGTGTTACATTTTTATCTAATTAGCGTTACTTTGTTATATTTCATAATTTTTACATTAGAAATTTAGTGTTGTGAAATTATGACAGGAACTATAATATATGTATATCTCAAACGCAAAAATATATTGATAATAAAAATACATTTCACAATATAATGAAAGTTTTATATTATATTTCATACTTTTTTTTTATTATATACTTATATTAAGTAAGATAATATTTGAATAGATGAATAATATTTTTTATTTGACAATACAATAAATCTATAATGATTAATTTATTATAAATTTGAATATTTTTTTCAATATGATTAACTAATTAAAAATTAAATGTGATTAATGATATAATTTATTTGTGATGACGATTTCTATATTGGATCCAAGTATTACAAGTTGCTATTGCTACGCTCCTGTTGAAAATACCGTTATATTCGACAGAGCGTTGAACTACAAATGATTCGAACCAGTATAGTGAAGACACCTGTGATATTTTTTGAAACGGTACTGACAAATACAGTCGTACACGTTGCATTTTTGCAAAGAAAATAATCATATTGAGCTGATTAGTCACAAACATAGCGACACATAAAATATCGTTATAGTTGAGTGTAAGATAATAATATAAAACTGACGATAACGATGCTAGCTTGCAAATGGTATAAACGAAGTTGTTAGTATATGTAGTGCAATTGTGAGACGACAGTTGTGTTTCTCGCTTCGATAATACGCATTTAACTATTTTATTTAATTGTAAAACTGTAACAAAATAGAAAACGAAACAAAAATATCAAATAAACTTGTAGCATATTGACTTTAGAAGAATGTGTAATATAATGTGTGATAATAATTAAATTTTACAATGAAAGAAATAAAAATGGAATTAAAAAATGGACATTCCATGGAGAAGAATAAAAAATCAACAAAGAAACAAAAATCGACATTTTGGGCCTATGTACTGTGGTTAATCGGTGGTTTAGTTGGCGCGCATCACATATACTTGGAAAGAGACGCACAGGCTTTTGTATATTTTAGCACTTTTGGTGGATACTTTGGTATCGGATGGCTTCGAGACATCTATAGAATTCCTTCATACGTGCGCGATATAAACGAGGATCCCAGTTTTATAAGTGATTTTAAACAAAAAGTTAGAAATAATCATAAGGTATATTGAAATTGATAAATAATCGATTTTAACTTAAATAAGTATGCTATTTGTAGGAAAAAGTCTTTGTAAAAATCTAGTGAATTATTAATAATATTTCAATATACAAAAAGTTTTTTTTTTTATATATTTGAGTATAAGAAATAAGAATTGGTAACGTAAGCAAAATATTAATGCAACATATCATATTTGATTTCAGCCGCCATTCTCTACAGTACGATTTGTTACTGAAAATGCTGTTGCATATTTATGGGCTGAAATATTTCGTAATGCCATTCCAGGAGACGAAATATACGGAATTAATTTTAGACATTTACTCATTTTAACACCTTTAGTTGTTGCTTTAGGTAAAAAATATAATATATATATATTATATCAGATATATTATACATATTACGTAGTTGTGTTTAACATATACATGTCGCTTATGGTTATTAACGATATGTTCGTTTCCCAAGTATAATTAGTTGATAAAATTTTTTAAGGCCGTTAAACTATATATAATAACTTAAATTGTTACAAGCATACATCAGCAATATGTTTATATAAAATGACATAATTTATAAAAATAATTTAATAAATATTACATTACATTCATAGCTGATTAGATTTATAAAATATTAATTTCTTTAATTTTCATTCTTTTTCATTTAAAATATAATTCGTTATTTCATATTACATTTATAATTAATTAGATTCATAAAATGTATTTGTTCCTTTATCCCTGTTTTCGTACATAATGCTTTTTCATCGTTCTAATAATCGTATTTGTTCAGGTGTTTGGACGATCGGAAATATCGGCAGGGAACAAGGTTCCATATGGATTGCTCTTTGCTCGGCATATTTATTGTATCCAACGCTAACCTATATCGGAGATGACAACATGTGGGTATTTCTGATGGTCGTTGCTGCTAGTATAAGTTTCGATACATTCAGCAAGCGATGGAGACTAAAGCCAAGGAAGAGAAAAAACATCGTTCAAAGAATCTTTTATCTCGGTTTAGCTGCTGCACTTTACACGTTTTTACTAGGATCATATCTATACTTTAATGCTGTTGTTACCGATAGCGAGGGCGAAGAGATCAAATTATCGGAAGCTATTCAACACTTTTTAACATCCCCTATATGGCTTGATCTTAAGGTTAATTTAATTACTTTAAATTGATATCGTTAAGACAATTATTGGATGAAGATTTTACGAAACCTAAAATTTTATAGGCGAGTCTCGAAGCAACATGGAATCAAGCGAAACATCAAGGTTTCTGGGCAACATGGGCACAATTGATAGATCTCACGGATCCTCGAGGAGAAATAAACGCTTACAAGGTACACAATTTAAAATTTGTTTTGTAATATTTATACCTAAATTTAAATTCTTTATTATAGATTTTAGGTCTTTCCCAAACGGCCACGCAAGCCGAAGTAACGTCTCGTTGGAGGGCACTCTCGAGGGACAATCATCCGGACAAGATAAAGGGCACTGAAGAAGAAAGGAGGCAGGCTCAAGAGAAATTTATGGAAATTCAGCAGGCATACGAGATTCTTTCAAAAGCGAAGAATCGCAGACAACGTCGAAATAGAAAATCGGATGAATCGTAATCAATAAATCTGTGGCCAGTAACTTGGAGATATGTACATGCACAATATGGTACATGCGATTCATCAAAAGTGTGGATCAATCAAAGTATTTAAGTTATTGAACAATCATTTTAACATACGATAAAATTAATGGTAAGCAAAGGCATTTTTATTATATTAAGGATATATGATGTTCCGAAAATATTCCGTATCTCGTAAATATTTATAATAGATTTTCTTGAAAAGATTTATTTTTTACTTTACAATAATAAATAACAAACGAGGTACGGAGACAAATTGTTTTCATTCATCGTAACACACAAAACTTCGTTGTGAAGCATTTGTTCTACCTCGTTATTCCGTATACTATATAGCATATAGGTGGACTTTGTATTTTTATTGAACGCGTTATTGATTCATAAAATTTGGCACTGCTCGCGTTCGAACATTAAATATAAATGTTAATATGTATATGCAAAATTGAATGTATAAATATAAATGTTATACATACGATATACATTTAGATATTCGATATGTTTTTGTATAAGTATATTATTAAGTACATCTTTCTATTCGATTTTTATCTTGATAAAAATGATTTTCATTTTCGTCTTTTAACGGAGAAAAGATATTTTTACAAACAAATAGTATTACACTTTTAAGATTAAAGAAATTTTTATTTATAAATTCGTTCGATGATCATTGCGTGACTAAAAAAAAAAAAAAAAAAAAACGTTAAGTTTGTATTCCAATTCGTTTATAAACCGTTTGAAAACCGCGAGAACGAATTTTCTCACCGCAATTTGACGGATGATTATTTAAAATTGTTTTAAAAATACTTTATCGATTCGATGGTTCATCATTACCTATTCTTATCGATTCTTTGGTATTCGTGATTTTATAGAAGTTCCGTCTATCTACGTATTTTCTCTGCTATAGTTTACTAAAATCGTAAACTACTAAAAATAAATTTCATCGTTTCGCGCGTTTTAAACACCTACCTAGCATCATTTACTTATATCGAATCCGAAGTTTAACGATTAATAACATACGAAAAGAAAAAATAATCCACGAAGACTGGTAATCCTTTTCCCTGTCGATTATATAAATAAGTGTATGACGTATTAAAAAAATTTGCTGATGGAAACGAGATTGTTCGAGAATTCGTTTAACATCGATGGTTTTTTTTTAAAAAGAGCGAGATTTGCGTCGCTCGCTAGGAACTGTATCGATAAAAAGTTGAAATTGAATCGAAAGAGATCGAAAATTCTTAAAAATATATATATTATTTTTTTTTTTTTCGAGAAACGAGAAACGTCGCGATTTTTCACGCTTGCGCGAGTTTATTGACAAATCGACTTACGAACGCAAATTTACCAATTTATTTATTTTTCTTTTTCGACCGTGACGGTTTCCCTACCGTATTCTCGATTTTCTCCGTGAAATTTGACCCATATTTGTCCTTTGATTGCTCGATGAAATCTTGCGGTGAAACTAACGTCACCCTGAAAGAAAAAAAAAAAAAAAAAAAAAAAGAAAATTTATCGAATTTATAAAGTTTGAAATATTCGAGACATGAGTCAACAAATATCATTGTTACCTTAATTGCGGAACGCTCAATGGTCGGAGAAGACTTTTAACGACGGGAGGAACGTCGCTTGATTTTGGTAGAGCGGGACTACTCGCGCAAAGGGCAGCGCTAGTCAATTGCGAGACCAGAGAAAAATTTCTGTCTGGTCCAGATGTCGTGCGAAAAACTTTTCTTATTTTTGACTTGAGTCCCGAAGATGACGACGACAACGGTGCAGCAGGGACTGGCACGACCTGTGTCAAATATATTAAATTAACACAGAATATTAATATATTTGAACGGTTAAAAATAATTAGAATTATCCGAATATAAGACGATCATATGTATCTATTATCCTGGAATTTATTTATCCTTATGACGTACATATATCTAACCAGATACCCCAAACTCGAATTGGATCAAGAATTTCATTCGAAATCCGGATTCCAAAAGTAATTTAATCGCGTAAGCATGATGATGAAAAAAAGAAAATAAAAGATACGAGAATCATTGTGAACTCGAAATAACTAAAAGACAGAATAATCATTTAGGAAAATATGTCCGTTCTTCGATACGAATTTTCTAAATGAATAATTTTACTATCAACCTAAAAATCCGTTTACCTTCCTTGCAATACCTTTGCTGCCAGTTCAGGTTCGCTACCCCACCGACAAGATGTCGATCTTTCGAGAAGTCGATGCCTGGCGAACCTTTCGATCACTTCGGCGCACACGTACCTCCCACAAAATCTGGCCCACTGTTCCGCTCTCAATCCTCTCCCGTGATCTCTCAATGTCGGATTCGCGCCTGAAATTAATTGAAAATCTCGAATCTCGATCTTCCTTTTTATCGTTGGAAATCAACTTACCGGCGAATAACAAAATTTTCGCGCATTTAGTCCTTCCTTGAAGGGCTGCCTTCATCAACGGTGTAAAACCCGACGCGTTCCTCGCGTCCACCTCGATGTCCGGACACCTTTGAAGGAGTATGTTCAAACATTCCGTTTGCCCTTCGAATTCGAACGAGATATTAAGAGAGACGTAAGAATTCGTGTCCTTCGAAAAATCGAAAGTGTTCGCGTAACAACGTTTGCAACTCGTCCGTAACGTTCCATATTTTGGCTTGAAACGTCTGTTGGCGTACGTCACGGCGAACCACGCGCGTTTCGAGTTAAGTACTCCAAGTTATTTTCGACCGCGATGACGCGGTAGAATCCTTACGGCATCGCGGGTATAAAATTTAACGTCTGCTTATATATATATATATATATACAGTGTCTCTGAAATCATGGTGCAAACGACCGTGTCTGATGATTCCACGTACGATTCAAAAGTAAATGGAGGAGAGGGAGGAAAAAAAAAGAATAACATTTTCTTCGTTCGAGCTTTTGTTTTCGAATAAATCAAGTGAAATTGGCTACTTTCCAAAATGGGATACGAATGAAATAACACGTCTACGTGTAATCGAAATAAGATTACATTTTTTTTGGTTAAAAATTATATAACCCTTCGATCGCAAATGATGAATTTTTATTTTCATATATATATATATATATATAGAGTTGAGTATGAGACACCCAGTATAGACTTTCTAACGACGCGAGAAGTGTTTGTAAAATTTATATCCACCACGTGGCCGGATTCTTTCGATCGTAGTACGAGAGGCTGGTGCAAGGCGAACGTCTCTGTCCTTGAAAGATTTCCGCGTAACAAAAATTGATATTTTCGTGCGCCTTGAAACGATCGATCGATAGATGGAAAAAAGAGATCGAGATATTTTCCTCGACATCCCCTCTCTTTAAACTCGTAATAAGGCGAGCGCTTACCGGCTTGCGCGGCGAAATGCAGCGGCGTGTTGCCCTCGTTGTCGGGAATATTCGGATCCGCCCTTTCGAACGAGAGCGCTAGCTCCAACATCGTCGAGGCACCATTTCCGGCCATATAGCTGATGGCGGTCTAACAATCGAAATATCAATTGTAAATATAAAGACAATTAAGTCTTTCTTTTTATTTTATTATGGAATCTTGAATGAGTTTCTTAATACGATGCTCTGAATGATGAAGATTCTAATTGTAGAATGAGCATTTTAGATCAGATTGCATTGTAGGGATTTTTATGAGATGTAATTGCGTGGATCTAAATCATGGAAATTTGAAAAACTGAGGATGTCTGAACTTTTTGCATAAAATGTATGCATAGCATTTTTTGTAATATCATATTACATATTTCTTGTGCTCGTCAAAAAATTAACCTTTTAATTTTTGAACGAATGTATTAAGAATCGAATCTTTTTTATTTTTATACTCACTTTTGCATTTTCGCTGATATTTTTTGTCTGCATGATTAATACTTAAGAATGTTATGTATATATATATATATATATCTCTTTTTAGAAGGAAAGATCGTGAAGAAATTATATCTCGTATTTCTTCAGAGGAGATGAAAAATATAAATACACGATATGCTTTATCCAACTCGTTATTCTTTGGTGAGAGACACAACACAATGGGCTGTGCGGTGTAAGGATCAATTTATTAAGTGGTTACTGACGTTGACGCGATAGCTCAAATGCTATTACTTCGTGTGCGTCATTGTAGCAAACACATGTCGAAATAAGGCTCGCACTTGTTTTCTCGTGCGAAGAAGCGCACGTTGCTTCTCGAGCGAAAACAACGAGATTTGTCCAAATCGGATTTTCGCCCTCGTAAGAAATCGCATCATGAATTTAAATTTGAAGAAATAACTTGACCATTTTTTTTTTTAAAATTAATCTTGGAAAGAAGGTACATAACAAAAAAAAAAAAAAAAAAATACGTTCTATTAAGATGCGAACAATCCGTAAGTCGAATTCCTTTTTGCTTTTAACTATATTTGTGGTAGAATATTATATTATATTATTAATAATCGAAATTAATCTCGACAAAGTTGGTCGATTAATTGAAATTTTTGTATAGTAGTAGTCGTTTTAAATTCTCGATATTATATCTCTTCCCTGTTTTTTCTTTTACGTGAGAAACTCGAAGCAATTTAACCAAATACAAACACATTCTATTTTAAAAACATTGAATTGTAAGAGCGCGAAGAATAGCGCGATTTATTCAAGGAGGCCGTATACGCTTGCTTCGTTTTTTTAAACGATTAAACGGCAAAAAAAAGTATTTTTTTCCACGGCCTTGAATCAATTATTCCAACACACTCGAAGAGAGCGCGTATCTACGTGATAAATTTCTTTTATCGCGTCGTATGTAAATACATTGTCACCGTCATCCATCCAACGATATACACATTCACAGATGTACAGATGTGCACGTACGTGCGTGAAACGTGTTTAATCGATTATCTATCTCACACGGTATTCAACGAAATTTCACTTATTATTTATATATTGGAAAGTGAATTTTCTTCTTTTTCTTCTTCTTTATTGCAATCGATTTCATTATACAATTGGCAATTTAATTTTTCTCTCAGTCGCCTGATAATTTTTAACCGTTTTGATCTCTCATCGATCATCGTCCAAAGATTCAACAAAGACTCACCCTGCCGCTGCTATCGGCCATATTGACGTCCATGCCTCCAAATCCAAATTTCCGCACTTGGACTGCGATCTCGTTGAGGGCCGCATCGTCGGCGTCTCTCGCCGCCCTCAGAAGGGCCGCCGGGCCCTCGGAGGTCGCTTCCCACGAGGACGGCACTTTTGTGACGATATCCACCTCGCGTACGCTACGATCTGACGGATGGAGATGACGATATTTGCAATTAAATATAAATATCAAAAAAATCGGAGAACAGATGGAAATATAAATACGATCGGCAACGAGAAACGAGAGAATTTTTTTCGCAACGGTATGACGCACGTTAATATATATATATATTTATTTCATGATAAAATTTTCGATCAACGTTAAAAAACCGGATTAATTTTTAATCCCACCTTTTTATATGATTTACGGTTTAGAAAGATACGCCGGTATCTCTCCCCGCCCGTTATTGTTCCACTTCTATTTTCCACGTTTGTTTATACTGGCTGGTATTGTGCGCCGTATGCAATATTCCGTTTGATGAATTTCCAAAGAAAACACCGGCTGCGCAAACTCCGCCCAGCCGAGAAATCGAGAAACTGTATCCGGAATCGATACGTTACCGATCGAGTAAAACGAATGGAAAGAGAGGGAAGAGGCGCATGCATACCTTGCAGAACACCCTTGTGATACACCTTGACCTCGTGCACGGCCGCTCTTTTATAAGGCGCGCGTTTCTCCTCGAAGCTCGTGTCCGAGCTGAAGGACACAGATTTCTTTACACCGCTCGTCCTCCTTCGCTCGACCAGCAACGTTTGCACGGTTGGCGCCCGTTGAAACGGGTCGAGACCGTTGTCCAACAGCGAGAGGTAACCTTTGAAACACGGATACTTGGCCTCGCCGCAACAATTATTCCGCTTCGAGTCGTTCAATTTCCTATCTCTAATTTTGCCCCCGGGAAGTTGGGCGAAGTTGGAGAGAAACGCGGAAGACTTTTTCAGAATGCTCTCCTCGCCCGATCCTCGCCCGATCTTCCGCGTTGTCGAAAGACCTGAAACGACAACCATCCCCCCTCCTCCTCTTCACTATATTTCTCGGCGAAATCGTAGCTCGAGGCGCCAACAATACGCGATACGCGATATCCTATTGTCATTATACGTCATATTATATTCGATATTCGAGCGTGTTTTAAAAATAGAAAGGTGACACAACGTGAGCGATTATTCGAAAAATCGAAAGCACGTACGTTGTTTCTCTAACGTCAACAAACGAGGAGCGGAAAAAAAGAGATAATTGGAAGAGAATCGAATCGTACGTACCTTCTCTCAGGTAGTCGGGCACCGAGAACGATTTCCTTATGGGCCGTTGACCTTTCCTCAAATCCGTCGATCCTTCCGCGTGTTTTGCGATCCGCTCGCCGAGAAGAAAGTTGTCGTCCCGACGTTTTGCGCGAGTGCCACTCGCGTCCACATCGGCCGTCTTGTTCCTCTTGTCAACGATGCACGGCGCCGGCGTCTCTCTCGCGGTGCAGTTATTTCGAGCGAGGTCCCCCCTAGACGCGACGATGCTGCACTGGTTCACGGGGCAACTGTTGCCCTTTGCCAACGAGTTGCACTTTACCGTCTGGACACCATTTACAACCTGCCAGTTGTCCTCTTGCAAAGGCCGGGTATTATTCTGTTTCGATCATTCGTCGTCAGTGTCGAACCAGCAAGCTTTCTTTCTTTTCTTTTTTTCTTTTTTTCTTAAAGCTGAATATTGAAAGGTTTCTCGATTTGATTTAATTCGGGGGAAAAGGAAAGAAGAAAAGGACTATTGATAAACCGATACATTCGGGAGGACATATATATGTACATTGTGTAGACGCGATAACAGAAATTGTTTATCTTGTTAGATTTATCAAGAGAATTGCGATCCTCGAAATCGGAGAAAGCAACAATAATATTTCAACTTTAATACAATTTCTCACGATCGGAAGATTCTCGAGGATATGAAAAGGAAGGGCGAGAGGAAGGAAGGGAGAGAAGTGGAGAACACTTACGAGAAAGACGGAGGGAGGCGAGAGTTGGCGTGTCGAAAATCGATCATTCCCGCGGAAACTCTCGGAAATCACTGACGGTGTCGCGGCCCGTGCCTGTGCCTGCGGAGTAGGAGAAGTTCCTTGAAAAGCGAATCGTGCCTTCCGGATCGCTTCGCGAGACGTGCACGCGAGTTCTACCGCATCCGTTTCGACTAAACGCTATTTATACGCCGGTTAAATCGTGTTGCGTTGCCCGGTCGTTGGTTCAACGATGCGTATACGCGCATCATCGAACCAGCTTCGTCAACCTGTTGTTCTTCCCTCCCCCCTCAAGATTTCCAATTTCTCTCGAGCCGTTCGGTATTTTTGCATTCGTAAATAATTGCGTAAATAAATCGACGGTGAAGGAAAGGAAGGAAGAAAATTGAGATTCGCTTTTTTTCTTCGGATGAAAGAGAAGTGAATGAAAGGAACGCTTACGATCGGCCGTTGCACGTTGGACGCACGTTGGAACACGATGTCGCGTTTGTTCCCACCGGTCGGAGCCACTCTTCCCTGCGATCCGTGATTCTTCGTCATCGTTGATCTAGATTCCATCGAGGATTCCGTGGAGGGTACCTGTCATTGCCTGCGATTCGTCATTGAAGTCGGTATTGAACGGTTTACGTAACACATCTTACCGCGTAGATTAGATTTATGTTTGAACGGAGGGCCGCGCTCGAACTTGATCTGTTTGCCGATGTATCAGTGGCGTATCCATGGCGTGGGCTCTGAGAGAACTTCGCTCCACCCGTCTCTCCTTTCGCCGCGTGCTTATTTTGGCGGCATTTACACTTGTCGTCGTCGTCGTCGTCGTCGTCGTCGTCCTCGTCGCCTCTGGCGTTAAGCCAATATTTTGAATTCTCTCAGTGCACGGGAATCTATCGATTATGCCATACTCGAAAACTTTGCCCCGGCCTGTTTATCGATTTTACAAAATTATTACGGTATCCACCGTTTGAGAGAGCGCATATGGCCGGCGGGCTATTTTAGCAAGTTTACGCCGGATTACGCGCTTTCCACGAAACAGAAAAAGGGAGGGAAAGTGGGGGGGATATTGGAAAATAGCGATAAACTTCGGTAAATTTGATTGGAACGATCGAGAGAGACAATGGGGTGTTTTTTTTTTTCCCTCGAGAATGGGTTACGTGACTGGTTTGGCGAGAAACCAGAGTACATAATTTACGTATAGCTCGTTCGATGTGCTCGTAAAACGAAACGGGCGAAATACTACAGATGTTCCGAAATAAGCAGATTGAAACGTTATGGAAAGTCTCACGAACTCACGAGCGTGGTTCAATGCCATTAACTTGGGGGCATTACGAATTATTAATTATATTGTTAACGATTGGGTGAAAAAAATATCTCGCGATATTAAGTAAAAAGTTAAAAATTTTATATGGATAGATTGAGATATACGATGTGGATGTGCGTTTATTAATTTAATTAACGATGCGAGCCGAGCTTGTCTAAATAATACGTGCGCGCAATTAATGAAAATTCATAAGGGTGCTCGACAAACTCGATGAAGGTAATGAATGTCGATAGCACGCGCGCGAGTTCATCAGGAATAATAATAATAACGTTACGTGGGATAATTCACGTGTGACATTGTGTCATTGACACATTTTGCACACACGATAATAACCTCACCGCGGCTCAGATTCGACACTTGACTTCGTCTCGATCGGTTTTCGGTATCTACGTAAGAACGTTCTTTTCCATACTGGCCAGGCTTCGGTTTAATTTTAAACGAGGCCGACGTCAAACTGGTGGGATTCGTAAATTTGTCGCGTTAATATCACGACCGTGATTCCTTACCGAGTCTTTAATCTGTAACGAAGCGCTGTAAATAAACAGACTACTCCGCGGTAGACGGTTCGATCGCCGCTCTCCAAGGGAAGGAGAAAAATTCCATCTAAAAAAAATCGAAACGATCGTGATCGGCTCGAAGGTTTTTTTTTTTCTTTTTTGCCCTCCTCCAAGACCTTGTAACTCTTTTTTTATAGCTTTTTTCGTGGTAATAAAAAAAGCATCACTTATCGATTTGCGCTACAATTCACGTTCTTATGTACGTTTACTCGATCGAAAGATTGAATGAAAAGTTTTCGAGTGTCGTTTCGAACATCACTTGTGAACCACCGACGAATTTATAACGAATTTCTACGCTTCTCGAATTTAAGGATCACTTTAAAGAAATATTTACCTGTTTCTATTTTCGTTTATCGATGTACGATGCGAAAATAGCGCGAATATTCTTGTTCAAAAGATCTAAGATTTTCTAAGATGCATATACGATCTCGTATATCGATATCGGAGAATTTTTTTTTAAAGAATACTTGCACATCTTTCGATGAAAAATTTACCGGATATAATGTAATGGTAGTACGTTTGTAATCGTAGACTGCGTATCGGAAGTACAATAAAAGAGATAATCCACGACGCCATTAATCTTATCGCTCAACTATTCAAACTAATCTATTCGCGTAAGGGTTGATTGGATACTGGGCTAAAATTTAATTCGCACCCTCGCCCTGAAAGTATCACGGGAGTCGTCGTATCGCACGCTCTCTCATCCGCGCAGTCGCAGATTTAGGCCAGATACTCTTTAATATCTAGTCAAAACGAAAAGATTTTGAACACAACGAAACAAAAATTGTTGTAAATTTTTCTTTTTCAATTTTTATTTTCGTACCTTGCATACGACACACGTCGAAACGTGTGTACCATCCGAGTAATGATAGTGGAACGAAACGAAGCGGAAAAAAAAACTTCCACGATTTTTCTAACATACCTACCGAGCGTGTTTCGTTCGATCTATTTTCGTGCAGTAACGCATTATCCATTGGGACGTGTGCACGTGTTCGGAAGTTTCGATGATTCAAGTTCAATTAGAAAACTAAAATTTCCAAAAATAGTATTTACCCACATTGGCTGTTACTTATGTATTTTATACAGATATAGTGAATTTCGAAGCAATCTGCCGAAAACTAATCTTTTCCGGCTTCACTGAAATGTATATATCGTCCAATACTGTCTCGCGGGTCTAGAATAGCCGTTTAATTAGAAATACGTAGTTCGAATATAGTATATATTCTTAAAATATTCAAGATAGAAATGTTTAGTTTCGATTACAAAACGGTAATACGCTAGAAAAATGTGAAGCGTGAGTTATTCGATATTCGTGATAAATGAATTGCAATTTTGAGGAAAATAGTACATACGTGCAAAAGAAACAACTATGTGATGACGTGTTATTAAAAGAAAGCTATTATCTGCATGCAATTTATTCGAAATAAAGTATTCGAAGGTTTTTTATCATGTGGATTTTACGTAGATCTCAATATAGATACGATTCGTTATTCCGTAACGGAGAAATGTCAGAATTCATTAGTTCAAGGTTGAATTACGACTTAACCTTAAATTTAGTTCGACTTTCGTGTTGATCGTAAAACTCGTTTAAAACCGTTTTCTGTAGAAAAATAATTGAATTTTTGCTGGATAATAAATCAAGTCAAGTTAATGTATCTTGAAAAGCTGTTTTATCGTTTTATCGACTAAAGGTATGAGCAAAATAATTTTGATTAAAAATCAGGAAAAAAAACAATAATGCGTATCTCAAAGTGTAATACTATATTTCGATAACATAGAGAGTTTACATCGAGGATGAACTATTTGATGCAACGCTAATAATATAGCGTGCATAAATCTTCCTCATACTGGCAGCCCTTTAATTATGAAAAAAATAGCAATATCGTGGCAATGCTGATCAGGTGGAAAATACAATAATACTTGTGAGATGATTCTCACATGTTTTACGTACGATACTTATTTGGCAACAATCAACAACTGGGATCAATGGTCACGAGTGGTATAGTAACGATTATTTAACATTTCAAAATTTCAATTCATCAACTTTTCCACTCGTCTCAACGAGGTACCATTTATAATCGTTGATCCCAAAAATTTACCCAAGAATTTTTACACGGTTCCCGTGCTTACGTTACACTTTCAAATTCTTTCACACGCGAAAACAATGCTTTCTCCTTCATCACGAGATGCTTTTAATTCGTGGCAGTAAAAATTCTAATGTTGTGCATGTGAATGCACGATACGTTAAAAATCAAAGATGAATAAAACGTTAACTTAAACGTTTAAAAACGAGATCATTGGTAAAAATACGAACTTCTTAAACACTATCGATCCAAATACAATACACACATATATCCATTATGTAACGAAGAACGAGTTTCATTTCACGTTGAAAAGAACAAAATAGTTTAAAGTAAATCGGATCGAGTTTTGTAATTCTCGACGTGTCAAAAATGTAAATATATATATGTATATATATATATATATATATATAGGTATAAAGGCATCGACATTCTTCATGGAGAGTACCTATCGATTTGAAATGCTATAGAAGTGAAGATGAGGAAAACAGGCAGGCGGTTTACTGAAAAAGTACAACTTGAATAATTTAAAGAAAAGCATCCGTCGATCGTAATCTAGCTCTTTGCTGATTTCCCGAAAAATTTCCTTTTCTCCTTTTTTTTTTTTTCGCTCGAAACAAAATTTATTGAACCCACGAAGCAGGTACCCAAAGCGGTTCCGATTCAACCCGATGAACAGCGTTCACCAGTTGTTCAAACGCAATAGGAAGATCGGCGTTCACGATTACTTCGTCGAACAGATGAGTGTACAGAAATTCGATCCTTGCAGCGCTATGCAAAATTTCGCTAAACTCTTCGTCCTGCAAAACGATCGTGCGAATGAATATTCGTTATAACATAACACATAACATATAATACTTATATTCTCAGAATAGAGAGATCATTGATTTACCGTGAAACCCCGAGAATTGCTCTCGTCGAAAGTTGACCTTGCTCTAGCATCGTTCCTCGTTTCTTTCAATATCTCGAACCTAGGCGGTTTAATGTATATCACGTATGGTTTTGTCTGCGGAGTTCGAAGCATCTTCAACGCTTGGTAATGAGGGTTCAATAGACACACGTATCCGGCGTTTATCAACGAGCTCACGCTCTCACAACTCGTACCGTACAAGTTCCCTTTATACTCCCCGTATTCTATAAACTTGCCACCCTCGATCTCCTCCTCCATCTTTTCACGGTTAACGAAGTGATACTCTTTCCCGTTAATTTCGCCCGGTCTCGGCTGTCTCGAGGTATCTGAAAAGCGTCACGAAAATTTTAATTGAATAATCGAGTATTTTGAAGTAAAAAAAAAAAAAAAAGTAAATTGGATGAAAATTTGCCATTATCATCGCGTTGTTATTGCATGATAAATTGATGGATGAAAATAAGGGAAACTCACAGGGGACAGGTGTCTTGTACTTATCGGGGTCGGTGGCCATAAGCCGCCTCTTGAGCTCGTTCCTTCCGACACCGGGTGGCCCGATCAGAACCACCGGTCGGTAGAGACCCGGTCTTGGATAGAGTTTTGCGACCTCTTCGTAGGTCGGTATTTCTTCCCGGTCGAAATCGTCGTTCTCTGCAGCGTCATACATGATTTTTTTAGTTTTTACTCCCTGCAAGTTGCACTTTGTAGGCGAGGCGTGTAAAGAGGTAGTGGGACGGGGGCACAATGCGGGCAAAGGCACTGGAACAGAACACAAGCCTAACCGACGGTTAGGTCGTCAGGCCATCATCCGTTAAGAGGGGCAGCCGAGACCAGTTTCATCGGGTTGTTTTTCTCGCTCGTTTCAATTACGAAGCGTTATTAATCGGCTCGACATGCAGTTAAACTTAAACGCGGCAACGAGAGAAATGAGATGATTTAAAATTTTGTATATCAATTTAAGAAACCATCTCGTCAAAAGTATGGAACTTTTGTTCACATTCGATTATGGATGAAAATTGAACAAAAGCACACGTTATTCACACTTATTCGATTGTAAACTGTCCTATCCCACTTACTCATATTGTCATCGTCGGTTTTCTCCTTTTGCTGCCTTTCAAGGATAATTCGTCTCTCCTGTAGGGCTCTGCTTGGGATCAAACCCGCCCTCATATTTCGATCACCTTCGCGTCTAGCTTGCCACCTAAACGAGCGTGAGGATTAGAATAAAATTCACGATACGATATTTATCACACGATATATAATAATTCGAGCTCTCTACCAATAAGCATCATCCTGGCTGACGATGTGAAGCACGTCACCCTTAGAAAAATCTAACCCGGCCTCCTTGCAAGGTATGTACGGATCCTCGGCAGCTTTGTACGAAAAATGCGCTCTAACTCGTACCTGACGAACAAGATACAGAAATAATAAATGGATAATAAATAAAATTATCATAAAAATGATAAATAAAGTGTTTCAAAAATAATTGTTGACATTAAATCGAAGGAAGCGAGTACCTTGCTCTCACGAATTCCTCCTTTGCTGTCGGCAGGCACTATTTTAAACGTAATCGTACCCTCGGAATTTTGCTGAAAGAGAACATATATCGTTTTACGTAGGAATCGTTCGAATGTAACATGATAAATTATAAGTTTAATATATAAAAGCTGCGACTCACCAATATCTTGAGAACACAGTTCGGAGTCTTCCTTCAACGCTGATGCCGTTCACCTCGCAAACTTCGTCCCCAACGTGAATCAGGCCGGATCTGTCGGCCGCGCCGCCATGCATTATTCGTGCTATCACGATCTTGCCGGTCACCTCGCATGTTTTAATGGTCGCCCCCTATTGTCAACGTGTAAACTAATATTTTTCATTTGCGGTTGCGAGACGCGCAATGATGTAGTGCCTTAAAAAGTTTTTTCTTAAAGAAAAGAAAAAAAAACAAACAAACAAACAAAGAAAAAAAAAGGAGAACAAAAGAGAATTCATCGCGACAAACAATCATTCGATCGAAGCAGTCGCGGCTCTTTCTATCGGATCTTAAATCGATGCGTTCTTCGACTGCGTTTCAAGCGTTATTGACTATGGCTCGGAAATATGGTTCAAATTTCTCGAGATAATCGGGGGTAAAAGTATCGTTAATCATCGATGATTTTAATGATACTTCTACTTGGGATTAACTTCTATTTTTCGAGTTGTTGAACGAATTGAAAAATAAAGTTTTATTTTTAATTCGTTCATCTTCTATGTATAATTTTATATGCATCTTTGCTTGTATGTTACACACTTTTATTATCTCGAGAGATTTTTTTCCATATTCGATACAAGGACATGCGGGACAATAACACTGGATACAATTGTTATTATTAGAGAAATTGTTTTATTTTATACAAGCAAAAATGACAAACAAATAAACACAAATCAATGGGAGATTGCGTATATAAGCAAAATGAACAACTCGTGTAGATAGAAGAAAACGAACAGCGTTCTATTTACAGCCGATTCTATCCGCGAATATATATATATATATATTTTTTGTTCTCACTCCGGTACAGAGGCGAGATCGCAAAGTGACAAAAACTAAAGTTTCTCTAATCACTAGATGACTGGTTGAATTAAAACAAAATAGAAATAAACAGAGAAATAAATGAATAATTCTACGTAAATCGTAACTGCGCGTTGCTTGATACGCAATGGAACGTTTACAGGCCTGTAAGTAATACATGTTTCGGCTTGAAGTCGACTTACCACGATCGGTTCAACGCCGGCGCCACACTTCGAAGCAAGTTTGACGATGAAAGAAACACGTGATTACTTAAGAAACAGTATTGAGTATCGTGCGAACGATACGTGTTCGATACTAAGATACTTATTACGGGAACATTGAGGTATCTAAATCGATACAAAGGATTAATCAGGTTCAAATCCCATGCAGATCATTGGTTTTAATTACTTTAAAGCTATCACTCGTTCTCTTTTTCTCTTTCTCTCTTTCTCACACGATGACCCTTTTTTATTATAATCCTTCCATGTGATTAAACAGCTAAACTCTCCTCGAGAAAATTATTATTCAATGACAAAATCGTATCCAAATATTGTCCAACGTCACGTGATTAAGAGGCGAAAAATATAATTTTCTAGACAAGAGTAGATTTTTAAACGTTCGTGCTAAAAGACTTTGAAAAAGATCAATACATTATTAGGTATTAAATTTTCGTGTTGATTATAGAGGTAAAAAATAAAAAAAAAAAAAAAAATAAAAGAATTAAAAAACAAATATTCGTTTAAAAAAAGTAAAGAACACTTTGAAATCTCTTTTTTTTTTCTTTTTTTTTTTTTCAAGTAAATAGTAGAAGAGGCAATCGCGTGAAAAGATTATAATGTGTCACCCTGTATGTATATGTATTTCCACAAAGAAAGAGAGTATATACATATACATACACACATATAGTCTTCTCCTTTTTTGGTTAACTATCAATTTGTTCTACGCTATTAAGCTTTCTTTCTTTCTTTCTTTCTTTTTTTATCGTTGGTATTTTGAGCGAAAAATTTACTAAATAAAAAAAAACAAAAAAAATACTAAACACGAAACGTGCGACCTATCTGACGTACCAAGGGTTCGTTCGATTTCACCAATTGCACTATCTTCACGGTTTCTTCATCCTCGTCCACTTCCAATGGAATTTCCGGCAATCGAGGATAGTAATCTTTTTGGGCAACTGCGTCGTGGGCGCATAACAAGCCCTACGACAAAACATCTCGATTTCTTCTCAATTTTTTTGCCGATCTATTTGTTTATTTGCAACGTTCACGTTACCTGTATGTGTGGTTTCTGAAGTAAATGGAAAAGTTCTTTGCAATCCTTCGAGACGTGAGTCTTCGTGGACAACAGATCCAAAACTTCGATGTCGATATCCATAGAATTGGAGAGTACGGGAAAGAATTTGTCGTCCTTGACATTGTTCAAAATTTTATTATGCACATTCACTAAAGCGTTCAATTCCTTTGATTGTAGCAACTCGCTTAAAAATCCGAATTCCTCTTCGGTGCAGCTTGGTATTTCGTTCTTGTTCTCCTGTAGAGAATTTAACAGCTTGGACAAAGCTAAAAGAGAGGAAAGACAATGGAGATTCAATAAAAATCGACAAAATTTATTCTTATATTGTTCAAAAAGATGATAAAATTCAAATACAAAGACATAATACGCAATAAATGTATACTATACTTGAACGATTGTATTTTAATTTTCAATTTAACAATTTAACATTATCGTACGGGATCGTGCTTACAATCTTCCAAAAATTATTACTACATTCTGCTTATATTTTTTTTGAAAAGAATCAATTTCACGGTAACGGTTATTTCCTCGATCGATAAGTTAATTTCCGTGAACGTGAAACATTCCTCTCTGTTACAATAATAATATTTTGTTTCAAGTTAATTCGGACATTTTGTTGAAGAACTTGCTAGCAGGTAAAAATAGATGTAATATGTACACGAATACAATATGAAGGTATGCTTCTACTTTCAAAATATCGCGTTCAATCAAGCCGGTGATATTGCATACCGAAATGCCGAAACATTTTAATTTGTCATGCCATTGATTAAAAGCTAAAAAAGAAAACGATAAACGAAAACAAATCGTATATATCGCGGTAAAACACACGGTAGTTGAGACCGTTTGAATTTACTCACCAGGATCCCAATTTATGTTTTCCATGACGAGCGCTGCTGTCATAATTCATCAGAACGAACTTCAATATTATTTTCCAGCGTGCTGGATTCGAAACTAAAAGGATGCACTCGAACAGTAGCGTGGCACGATATCAAAACGACAAAGAATAATCAGGTCAGTCGCGATGCGTATTTCTAGCAGATTCGTGCGCAGCGCCACGAATAACCGGGTAAAACAGTTTCTTGTTTCGCATTCGTGGCTGGAGTATCGTTATCATAGCGAGAATAATCCGTTACGTAAGCTACTGTCACTCGACACGGGGTAGAATGACTACCACTAGATTGATCCGATCTCGCATCTCGTCAATCTTTTTGCTTTTCAGTTAATTAAACACTGTGATACACCAAACATTTTTTCCTATCGTTACCGAACAATCGTATAGAATATCTCCACAATCACTGTACAATTCGATTTAACCAATATTCACGGCTCGATAAGGGTTTTCGAGCATTTTTTGGCATAGACGCGACACGGCACGTTGTCATCGGAGGCCATCTTTAAAGGCAGCACTGTTTCTTCGCTTTCGAAGCTAGAGATTTCTCCCTCTCCCTTGCCCTTTCAGTGGCATAACCAATTCACCATCCCTCTATAAATAGCATGTATTTCTAGTCTGTTTTTCGATATATTGCTTCTATATCACATTTGTTGGTCTTCTTGATACACTTCTTTTTCATAAAATTTCTTCTTTTTTCATTTTTTATTCTCTTTCTTGCTTTTTCATCCCTGCCATGCAAGAGAGAAAAGGAGAGAGAAAAAGTAAAGTATTTCCGTCACGTGCAAAGTATCATAATATCATAATATTATAATCGGAGAATAAACCTACTATCTTCTTTTCTTCTCTGCATCATTTAATTTTAATCATATATTATTGAAACAAGTTGGAATTTTGTGTTTTATGTTCTGAATTACCGATCGTGCAAGAAACCAGAAGTTTTGTGCCCTCTACAATTTAGGGCAGTGAATTTAGAAATATATGTAAGTATATACATATATGTAAAAAAATTTATTCGTGACCAGGGATATTATGCTCGAATTTTTATGAATAATTAGAAAATGAAATGCAAATATTTTTACTTTTTCATTCAAAGGATCTCTACAATCATACGTTAAATTTTCTATTTATAATTCGTCCAAATATTTTATATGTATATACAAATGCAACTTGAATTTTATATTTAACACAATTCAAGTTTGAATATTCATAGTTGTATAAAGATACCGATATTTTGAATTAAAACAAATATTTGAAATATTCTTTGTGATTTCCGCGCTAAAAATAGCTGACGATATTTTATGTTAAATTTAAATTCTAAATCGATTTTAAATCGATTAAATATTCTTAATCTTCTTGTCAAAGACAATTGACAATCGTTATATTTAATTATAATTTTTTTCGTCCTAACAGCGCTGTTGTTTCATTCCATTCTGAATCGATAATGTTGCATGTGATGCGAGAATGGTAACGAGGTCATAGACAAAGTTTTTTAACCTACGTAAAGGTTACATTGTTCTTAAACTGTGACACAATTATGCATTGTATGATGGATTTATTCTATATATAATCATCTGACATAATTATTTCTTTATAATTAAATGTATAGATTATTCTTTTTTAATATTTTGTCGAAACAAGAGTTTTGAATTGACTGTTATATAAATTTAATTATTAGAAAACATTAAATTTAATAAATAATCGTAAAAATTACTTACTTAAATCTTTTATAATTAAAATAAACGCTAAATCGTGACAAAATTATTTTCATTTCGATGGAAATGTTTATAAGACAATTTGAAATACGCGGTCATAATTTTATTTCTCGTAGTTGGCGTCGTTTCGAATGTGGCAGCACTATTAGCTGTGTATACATGCAGTTGTCTGCATGAAACATCTCGCCGCTAGCCTCGAAGTATTTTGTGAATTTTGTGTAGTTTTTTGTTGTGAAATTTTCATTGGAAATTATTGCAAACAGTCCATTATTTTCTCTTTGTGCAGTTTTGGTAAGATCATTGATTTCTTTTTACTTTATGCGAGTAACGCCACTCAAATTTTGACATGGCGTTGACACACACGGATTTCGGTCGAAATTTCTATAAAAACTCGTAACCATTTAAGACAGTTTCATTGATTTTTTTGTTTCTAAATATCGCGTATCATTTTGCAATGGTATTTGTTAATACTGAAACCTTATTTTTGCAAGAAGAGAAATCGTGTTCGCTGACGTTTGCACATGTATCTCGTGCCTACGATCCACAAGTGGTTGTGTACTGCGAATCGTATACTCGCGATCTTTCCAAATTTGACGATGACCAATTTATTCACGATTTCTTAACTATAAATCATCTACAATTTTACAATTTGTTAATTTTTCAAATTTTAAACCGTTTAAATTTAATGATGTATAGAAATAAAGACGTTCGTCATTGTCAACAGTTTGCAAATTTTATTCGATAAAACGAAAAGTTTTAATAATTTTGAATAACGAAAGAAACGGTTCAAATTCAACGATATATCATATCAGTTATAGTCAATCTTAAGTTACGTTATTTCTCGTTATTTTTACAAGAAAATATTGTAAATTATGCACATTGTCGATATTATTTATCAAACCGATATGTATGTATATAGTTAGTAATATATTGACAATAAAAGAAGTTACATATAAAAAATGTATACGTTTTGTTATATTTATTAACGATGTATACGTTTTTTTTATTTGTTACAGTTACTTCCATATCCCTTGTTTATTTTCATTCATCGTCTCGGTAAGTTTTTTGATTTTTTTTCATTTTTGTTTCCATTTCCATTTTCTTCTCCCCTCCTATTTTTTGTCCGCTATTACTTTTTTTTTTTGAAAAAAATCCCGTTCATCAAACGAACAAAAGTATTAAAAGACGAACACTGGGAGTGGTGAAACAGTTAGCCGCATTATCGACCGCAGCTAGATCTATATTTAATTATATCGGGCGTTAGATGGCGACAGTAGTCACTTTGGAATGCATTCGGCATGCAAGCGATTTGTATACATATTTTAAACTATATAAAATGTTACGCGATATGAAACGTGAAGTCGTTTATTAAATCAATCGATCCAGATTTAAAGGGAGAAACAATAATAATAGTGATAGATAATAAAAAGAAAAAATCGAAAACATTTATAAACGATGATAAAAGAATAGATTGTATTATAAAACTGTCACAATCTCATTTTTTACGTAACAGATTTTGCCTTCAACAAATTGCTATATATATCCCGAACAAAATCATCGCTCGCGTAAACACGACAACAAAACTCTCTCATCTAAAAATCGTCTCGCCTTAGAAAAAGTT